CGGACAGCGGACCCAGGGGCCCAGAATAGTCATCAGATTCTGGTTTCGAGTGTTCCATCTCAACCCATGTTCCCATGAAGACTGAAGTATCCCATTTTGAGCTCTCTCGGGGTAAGATGAGAGTAAGTGGACCATGGACATCGGACCCAGGGGCCCATAATATTATTATACAAAATCCGGAAAAGATGAGCATCTAAGGACAAGAGTAGCGTGTTGTGTAGTGAGTAGTATAATGAAATTTTCTCTCTCTCTGATGGAACTTCCCTGAAGCATCACTTTTTGCTGCAACAGAACAATATTGACTGGCTCATCTTCACTTTGAACAAGAGTTCAGAAATATTGTGAACTTTCGCACCAATCGGAGTTAGTTGTATCACAGTTTACCCTGGTGATCTACTTCAAGAGTACAAAATTGACTGACTGGAAAACGATATCAAACAAGGGCTGAAATTAATGCTAACCCGGTTCCGTGCTATTTCACGGTGGCCTTCAAATGTCTTCCGTTGTAAAAAGGAGTCCTACAAATCGTACATTACCACTCTACCAACTTGGCACTCAGTTTAGCTCTATTGACAGACGCGCTTCAGCTCAAACACAACTCTGAATGATCGTGAATGACACGAAGAATCAGCGGTCGATCAGCCATCGGAACTACCTGAACGGCATTAAGTAGCGTAAAACTGAGATAGCATCATTTTGGTTCCCCAGTGAAGCCTCATCAATAAAATTTCGCTGTCCAGCGCCAGCTGAACAAAATTTCTGTGATGGAACAACGGGTTGATATGGTCCGGACTGTATGAAATCTCTACTTTAATCCGCTTCGAATGTTTCGCTTCATGGTTGGCAAGAGACTGTGAGGTACACGTCTTCAATCCGCGGCAGAAAGCAGACTTTTATACGAGTTAAAATCGGGACATAACTGAGGACGTAGCACTACTGTACCATGCAGCGTATCCGTTGATAAGGAGTCAAAGAAACTGGTATGTACAGTACCAAAACAGACTGGAGACCTACTTGATCAACGGAGTTATGAAAAACAAATCCGGAGACCTCCTTCTGAGGGTAGAACGTTTCAACGTGGCCACCCAAATGCATGACGAAACTCCCTAAGCTGTCGACAAACTATCCACAATGAGGGCAGCTTTACGATTGCAAGAATTACCTCATCTTCGCGTCCATCTCCAAGACACCGCGATTTCTTGTGTCACCTCCAGCAGACTTCGATTTAGCTAGACAAGGGACGGAGTGCTTCACTAGAACCAACAAGCAATCATGCGCATCATCAACGGCATTTGTTTGGGTCACCCCTGGTCCCACCGGTACTTCCGCAACATGCGACGGGTATTGAATTAGAGGACGGTTCTCGTCAACACCTATGGATTAGCGTTGGATATTGCGTCTTTTCTAGAAGCCAAGGCATCAGTGGTCTACCGATTTGATGTCCTTTAACCAGCCTCACTCCGGCTTACGTAGGATCTCAGCTCAATATTGACGCGTCAGGTCTGAAGGTTTACACTGGCCGTATCAATAAGTTTATTCTCTCTTGCGTGGCCCTTCTACACAATTCACTGGACAGACCCCTCCAATGTCTTTGCTGACTAAGCAATCATTGCAGGGGCTTTGCTGATTGGACTGTGTCTAGGGTTAAATGGTTAACACAGAATTTGACCAAGAGGCTATTCGGGTGGCCAGCTATTCTTACGTTTGTCAACTGTGGACAGCATGTTACCGGACGTCATTTCTTGCTTACTTTTCTCTGCCACATCGGAGGTCGGTTATTCGTCCATTATATACTCGGAAGTGAGCTGGTTTAGCAGGAATACTACAGACTTTTAATGGCAACTCATGGGTAGAATCTTTGTTGACCCTTGTTTGGGACTTTAGGATGCTCTACTATCCGCTACACTAATGCGTCATTATGTGACTATGTTCTCATTGGCGACGTGTTCCGATTGCTATGAACCCTGTCAGCTGTCTATCCGGTTGTATTTTTACAAGGAATCTTGTGTTCCAACTCAGGATTCGGGGACCCCAACCTTCGAAGTTGGCTCGGCACTGCTGGCCCATGCTCGATATTGGACAAACCCTCCTCAAAACACAGACTTGTAACTAAAATGTGCCGGGGAGGAGTAGTTGGCCGATATTACTCCACCAGAGTACACACCTTGTTATTTTTCTAGGGGACCACTTGGTAACCCAACACAGCAATAACCACTGTCAACAAGCTGGAAAGTGGATGGCCAACCAGTAAGCTGTGCGACATAGATAATGGTTCTTGAGCTCTACAGTGAAGCGAGAAGTCAATAAACATCCAGGATAAGAAAGGAGTCACTTTTCCAAGCCGCGCAACTGATGGCATATCTTCCACTTGCCACAGCGTAGATAGACTACTCACCTCTCCCTAGTAGTCTGGGCTGTTTTCGGCTTTTTCAAACTCGCAAGCTCTCCAATAATGGAAGATGGCAGGTCGATACTTTGTGAACTTGTAGACAGATAAATGGTAAATTAGCTGTCCTATGAAGTGTTTTCTGTGAGTTTTTTTTTCAAAGGTTGTCGATGAGAGAGAGGTACGCTGCATTCATTTGGTATCAACGAAAATAGAGAAGACGCTATTCGAGGGGATTTTAGACTTGGCCGAGTTGAACAGCGACATGTTGCGACAGCGCATCTTACTCTAGCCACCGGTAGCTGGGAGAAGACGAGTCGCTCGACCCACGTTGTTCCAAGGGCAATTACTTGGGAGCAACTGCCGATAGATAAATTGTTGTCATAATTGAGCGAATACTAGACAAACGTTCAGTGGTTTCAGTGCGGGATGATCACGACAGCCCTGATATACCGACACCATGCTCACAGTGACTGCCGTCAGTCTCGCGTGCTTCCATCTACATAAGTTCGAAACTGTCATACTGATGTGTCTGACAGTAGAAATGGCAAACACCTTTTCTCACATCGAGTAATTTTCGCTGTTTCAGATACAGACGACTTCTGGAAGTTTTTCTGTTATGATGCGCTGCATTTGGTTAAAGGGAATTTTAACCACCGCTGTACATGACTCAAACGGATGCGTCAACTCATTGGTGCTCATCGGTATCTTTAAGCGATAGCCAGAAGTTATGTAAGCTAGAAGTGAACAACAGACGCTTGATTGTCGCAGGACATATGCAGGGGCAGATGTCCCAGAATGAACCGGGACATTTCTGTTCCCCGCAGTGTAGCGTGTAATGTGGGGAAAGCCAAAATAGCTTTCAAGAAATACACTCATTTGCAAATCAATTTGGTTCAAGTAGAACATAAGGTTGACAGAAACTCGGGGACTGCGCCCACCTGATGAGCCCCAAGAAGGGTGAAACCGATCGTGGGCTGTCGAAGAGTTTTCAGCAACCTTGTGGGCAGTTTCCTTTGCCAAAATATTGTAGTGGCGTAGCTTCTTCGTTTCACTACTCAAACAATCTATCTATGCATTATCGTCCTTCTATTTGCACCTGTCTCGAAATGCGCTCCTAAGTCACCGTGAAATATCTCACTTGAATCTGCCACACAAATATCTCCGGATTTTTGGCGCACCTCCTACATTTGTGTTATAACATGTACCCACGTGTGTCGTCAAACCATAGTTAGTCTATCATTCCTCCATGTATGGTGTTCCCACCCTGCTTTTATGGCAGTTCGTAAGCCCATATTTGGACTAAAACACACCAGTTCAACACTTTAGACGAAAAACCCCATTGTTACCTGCTGTTTGCATGCCTTATTTGGCATTCAGATATGTTCACTCATGACTGGTCGACTTTGATTGGCTTTGTGGCAGTGGGTCTTGATCGATCACTGTATTGATTGAACAGAAGTTATCAGTCGGACTGTCGAGGCGCCAGTTGGCCTTCAATCAAAGGCTCAGTTGATTGGCTGGAAAGCGGCTTCGCAAATCCCTATCATTATTGGCCCATAGGGTGCTAGCCTGTAGAACTCCGGCTTCACTGAGGTTGTCTGTGGCTTAGTATCCTCACAACCACAATTACGGCTCTACAGACCTATTCTGCTGTATGCAGTCCCGCGATTTGTTGACTAATCCACTATTTTTCCTTGCGATTCCGTGCCTCACTCAGCAAACCTGTCCAGAATATGTCCCGTATTCGACCTTACTATTAACGGTCAAGGGGGCAAGGTGCATGTCAAATAGTCTAAGAACTGGAACAACTCAAACCAGCCGGGGTTGTTTTGGCCTCAACAGAATGGCCCCGGGGTGCAAGCAAACGTTTGAGTGAAGAACCCACAAGTAGACAGACAAACAGTTTGACTGGACCCTCACAGTCCCAGCTTTTTTCCACTGTGGGTGAGTGAAGTGGTGCATCTACACGATGGGACCGAAAACCCTTGAAAATTTACAATCGAAAATCGTATACGGGTGCAAAAAACTCCCCAGGAAGCTCTGCTGTAAATGTGCGTTCTATTTATGTAGGACAGCAGCCTGAAAATGCACACCACTTAGTTTTTTTAAAAATTGTGCATGGTATTTCATATCAGTGAACTTTCCTCTATTCAGAGCGAGATTTCGGAAGAACAAATCAAACAACAATATGACTCAAGGGGGCTGAGTAACTGTTATCAAATCTCTGAAGGTCATTCAGTTTATCTGAGGCTCCACGTTGGCTCGAATGCCAGAAGGTTCCAACATGGCAACAGGAAAAAAGGACCAATAGCTTTTATGGAACGAAATGTTTGACAGTGTCTTTCCGGATCAGCTTAGCGAAGTCTCTCTTTTCTTCCCACTTTCCGAAACAAAATGGATTTACAATATATCATGACTACCAGATTCACAAAACGGGGATCAATGCGGCTGACATAATCACTAATTTAGGGTTCACGAAGTAGTGTCCGACTCCAAAAGCGTGAAGAAACCCATTCTGAAAGTTATCTTGGTTTTAGAATCGATTTTAGGATAAAACGTGAATATCGCCTCAGAAGCTACATACCTGTTTATTATCGCCCCTTTCCTTTAGCTCTGTTTTATCAACAGGCTCCCTACAATGGCATGATGGTATACCCTTCTGGCCGGCAAATGCAGTACTTCACGAGATCCAAGATGTTTCACGGAGGTGTCGAGTGTTTCACCGAGGATGAGCTGAGTAACGAGAGTGGATCCCTCAAGCGAGATCGCCACAACAAACCGTCCGTTGAGAAGTCAATTCCCGAGTCCACTCTTTCCCAAACTCGTGTTCCATCTGTGTAACTGAAACAGAAGGCAACTGTTGATAACACACACTGTAATAAATGTACTTCTTGGACGAACCCACTCTCTTATATTTGTTCTTTTGCTTGGAACGCCCAACCAAGCGCTTCCTAGGTTTATCGAAATTGTATTGTTGTCTATGAACGAAATTCTAGTGGATCACATGACATGCAAACCCCAATCAAATTAATGACTCTTATCGGTGTTTTTTTCAATTGCGCATGCGCTTCATAAGGTAGTACGCAAGATATTACACAATATATTGATTTCACGAAATATTGATGTTCGTTTCTAACTTATCCGAAGTGTTCAGGTATTACAAAAGCATCTACTGTTCATCAACAAACTCCACGACGATTTTCTATAGAGCATAGTTCCTCTCACAGTTCTGTGTTCTCCACCGACCTCAAACATCAAAAACCTACAAGGAATCAGTTCGGCATAGAACCGAAGTGCTTTATGGCTTCTTGTTGATTCGCCAATCTGCTGTATCTGGCTGCTGACCCGCTCGAGTACCTAGTGCCGGAAAAAAGACCCGCAGAAGGGAACACAACAGTTATGTCCCGAACAAGCGAGCGCGAGAGTGACTGCGTGCGAATGCGAAAGTACAACGGTCTCATGCTGTTTATTGGAGGGACACTGTCTGAACTTGGTCCAATGCTGACGCGCATGCTCTGGCCTTGGGACGAGGCTGCGACGAGCTGCATATTGCGGGGGCGTTGTCTGACCTTGATCAGCGCTGACTCTCGCTGCCTTGGTTTTGTACAAGGCTGTGAAGCGCTGCATATGGAGGGGGCGTTGTCTGTCTGGTCAATATCTAGCGGAGCTGAGGGCCTCAGTAGATTTCGGGCATTCGGTGGTTGCTTTCAGCAATCTGAACTTCCTGATACTTCTTGAACCATATTTGATTAGCGTTCAGGCATTTCATCGAAGCAGATCGATTTTGATCAGACAGCATTGATCTATTTCAAAAAGCCACCTTCAAATATCGCGAGGCCATGATAACTTTTGCACTTGGACGCACTCGCTTGTTTCAGTAAAGCTGTTGTGTTCTTTGTCGGTAGGTCTTTTTTCCGGAATTAGACACCAGGGCGGGGACCGCATTCAGATGTAACACGGATTGACCTATTCAAACCTAGTCGTTTGACGTGGTGCCTGACTCCGACCACTGGTCGGTTGAGGCTATATTGAAGGACCTGTGCTGACCTCATCGGCGAAAGTGCCTGGTACACAAGCCGCCTTGCATTTTTATGGACGTAATGGTGAGTGTCTATGGAGGTCGGTACACATGAGTCAATTAAACAGAACAATCGTCTCACCACAACCTGGATCAGGACAAATTCATTAGGAAAGTCATTTGGGGAAAGGTTGAATGGGCAAAGATGTGGAATAGGTAATGTGTCTCGTACTCACCTGGCTGAAGCCACAATTGGACATGATGATACGAGTGGGTATAGGTACTTGGGCAAACGATATCACATGGCTTCGGCTGGAGTTGTCTGACCAGTATTGAAGGCAGCTTTTCTGCTGTATGGATTTGACCTCAGAAACAAAAAAGATTCCGACTGTAATGTTCCTCAAGCTGGCAACCTTTGGAAATTAAAAATCTAAGAAAGGATATCGATAAATGCTCACATTTCCACACCAATCAAGCTGAATCTCTCGTTTATGATGGTCTGCAAAACCGGTCGTGGACCATCGAAGCGCCTTCAGCAACCTTATGAGTAGTATGTCGCGTCAGTGGAAGAATACTTTTCGTCTGTAGTGTGAGGGGCTTTGGGAATTTTGTGTAGGTTTCATCTTGTAGATGAAGCCAAGAAGCACTGTACAGCTGTTTCATCCTTATTGGGAATCGTCAGCAGCGTGCATCTCGCAAGCGGTGCGCATTTCACGAAACTCCGGAGAGCCTTGACCTCCTGGCTAGTAGTTTGAACCCTTAACCATTCGGCCACGAGCGGCTGATCAGCAGTGTAGCTGACTGGCACCTAGACAGGATATAGCACCGCTCATCCTTCAATCAAGTGGTCCACATCACGCGGTCACACGTGTTGATTGGCTCCTCGAGCAATAACTTCTAAGATGGAAGTTTCATCCATCGGGTGAAGTTTATTTTTCTACTGAGCTACTTATGGAGACCAAGTCTACTTGGTCTACTTCTTTCATAACAGACCTCCTTCCAGCAGGTATTGATTTTGGTCAAAGCCTTCAGATAACCTCCACTGAGCAATTTCTGACTGCTGGTATTTGATAAAGGGAGAAACGTCTACATCGAAATCACTCAAAGGAACTGACCCCTGACTGCAGTCCTGTTACCATCCTAGTTGACATCTGTAAAGCGGTACCCGTGGCGACGATGCATGTGGATGGCAAAGATCAGCTTTCATTATCGAGGTGTGGTAAAAGGGGCCCACACCAAGGATATACTAGATTCAGTGATTTCAACTCAAAACGCCAGATTCGGGTTTTAACTGGGAACTAACACACAGGATGACCTAGTTCTATTTTCAAATGCAAATAACAAATAGATGTTGACAGAAACCAGCTGTTGACTGTTCGCCTACATAGTACGCAGACAGTCTGCGAGTTCCAAAGTGTCCGCTCTGTGTTGGAGGGAAACGCATTTTGCATAAGACATCCAGAGCTTCGATCCACACATGGGCAGCTTGAGTTGCTTGAGTTGCTTCCATATTAGGCGATACCTTTGTGCAACACAATCTGGCATTTGCACGTAGGCAAGCCACCAACATACTGGACATCATCCCATTAGCTTGACGGAGTCGTTTTGGACTTCAAATTAGGTCGTCAAACAACAGTATGAGAGCTGGGTAATCGAGGCAACTACTGAGCCGACAGAGAATGCGGTGGGATGAGGAAACTGGGCTAGAAATCCGCCAATATGGAGAAAATGACTAAGTGGTTTGAGGAGACAAGGCATGACAACCGAAACAGACAGTGCAACGAGCTAACCATTTCGGGCGAAAAAAATGACGTACGTTCGAAAGGACAGGTCTGAACGTCCTTATACGGACAAAAAGTCTCATCTAAGTTGCTGAACTCTGTACGCCTCTGCGTAGTAAGGGTGTTCGGGACAGCTTCCGGTTATCCAATCCACGCATTACCTCTCCTCCCAGTTGTGCACACTTACCCGCTTGTCTGTGGCGCACGCATCCTAGTGGCGGTTGAGTTGCCGTAGACAGGATCTCCACGACAAGGTGCATCGGTTCACCAGTTCACCGGTTCAGTTGAGTTAAGCTGCGTATCACCTCGTGTTAGGCATGAGGCAAGCAGGTCACCTGTGGCGGACAGGACACAACGGTGATTTGACCAGGATCGCGGACAGGCAATCAGAGTTACTGAAACCGATCGATGGTTTCCGGTTGGCCGGTTGCTCAGGCAGGAATTGAGGGTGGAAAGCCAGCAGTTTCTATGACACTGTGGTCACGAAAGCCTTCCGTCCGAGTCAAACAATCGGTTTACCTCAGTTTCTGGGTTGACTAACAGTTGAACTGCAGCGCGCTCTGGCAATAAATTCTGGCTTTTCATTAAAAAACAATAAACAGGTTATGTATGTCGAATAAATCTAGGCGCCAGCGCAATAAGTCCAATGCGGCCCTGATGGGTGCCGTTGTTGTGTAAACTGACGTATCACGCATCTGTAAATCTCGAGATCTTCGTATTCTGTTACTGAGCGGAACCTTGTGGTTTTTCTTCTAACGATTTGCTTTCTTACAAGTTGCTTGGTGCCAAGGCCACCGGGAGAGGGAATAAAGTTCCCCAAAATTGACGATCTGATAATTTATCGGGTTAGACTAATTTTTCATCACCTGACAGAGCCAAATAGCAGTTCATTGCATTGGAAGTAAATGGACCTCATAATATGCTAAAATTCTGTTACCCATCTGACCAGCATCAAAGTGAAAAATCGGGTTTTAACAATCACTGTTTTGTTCAGGACTTCCTTTAGAAAATACCTACGTTGAGCTCAAGATGGCAGCGGTTAGGGTCTGTGGTTTAAGTCCAACACCGGGCCTTTTGGCTCCTCTTGTCTAGGCTTGGGCACCTTGGCAGGATCTCAGCCCTCTCACCTCATCGTACACATGTCGCTATATATGTCCTCTATCCTAACCACCAAGACACGAAAACTAGGCCATGTGTTTCGCACTAAAGTGCATATAATATCCTGCAAGTGTGTTCAAGGGAATACTGCAAAAATGCCCATATTTATTGCTATTATTGTGGCTTGTATCGTTGCACAGGGCTTGTCAGACCAAAATGGAGTGGGTTGACCTCGCAGGTACGATGCAAGCAATGCTGTAAGCTCATAGGCATATCCACATAGACTAATGTGAGCAAAATCCTCTTCGGCTTTGAGATTTGGCCACGTGTGTGCACTACGATTCGTAGGTACTGTTGTCGGTTCGTGCACGTTTGTGCGCGTTTCATCGCGATCACAGTGACATGGCACAGTGACTCTTCATACAGTATTTGCCACAGCACAGATTGCAGCCTATGAATGATTAGCGATTTTTCGTGAAGCACTGGGGACCGGTTACTGCACTGAAAACAGTTGATTAACCGTCTAGTCTTCAGCATCATAACACATGCATCACACCGTCCGCGTCAACATGGCACTGTTTTCTTTCATTGGACTGAGTGGAGTGTACGAACAATGAGAGTTGAACGCGTCTGGCAATGCTCATCGATTCACTCATCTCGTATGTTCAGTGTGACGCCTACGCATCTCCTATCGATCACTTTAACCGCTCCTGGCTAACTGACATTCGCTCACTTGCCGAAGTTCACTTCGGTAACTTTCCGAATCTGGAGCCTCGTGCAGCAAAACAGTCACCTCAGTCGCGACCCAATTAATTGACACCGGGCACGTAGTCAATCCGAACGAGTGATTTCGTCATTTACGATGCACCCAGTGGACTGCAATTATCGACCCAGCGGCGTTGCTTTGTTGCAGCCCAGGTCGTTGCTAGATGTCTGCAGAACCCAACTTTGTGCTGTCCAAAATGCCTCGTATGAATCAACTGACCAAGTCACTCAACAGCCCTTTAGACTGCCTCACAGCATCCAGTTAGATGTGACGTGGGGGGCACAGACAACCAATCATTCGTTTCTCCAATTTCTTCATTTCACTAACCAATCTTCGCTGTGTATTTCACTTTCACCCTTATTTTGTGTACTGACCTGATGATGTGACTTCGAAAATATCAATATTGGTCACTGTGTTCTTGTTAAAACGATGGAGAAATTAAGACGAAATTCAAGTTCCTATAATTCAGATTACAACAGT